GGGCTCGACACTGTATACAGTGGGCACCCAGTGAATCACTGCTAATCATTCTCCCTGTAAAATCCAGCGGTCGATATTGTTTAGTAAGTGTCGTTTCCTGTTCCTCCTCGTGAGCTGGAGCCAGAGGCACCGCAAGGACAGGGATAGATGGCATTTTCTAAAAGAGACTCACATGCCTGGAGCAGCAGAGGTGGCACTGTGTTCGGTTGTGGGAGGCATGGCAAGAGGAATTACAGTGCACACTTACAGCACTTCTGGGCCAGTGACCCGGGATGGGACAGGACCTAGGCACCATTGTGTCATGTCCCAGACTTCTTGGTACTGTGCCTTAATTACCTGTCCCCCCCTCAACCTCTGTACAGACAGGGCCCGTGTCTGTTTCCCTCACCATCCCAGTCACCAGTGCCCGACACACAGCCTGGACACAGCCTGGAACACTGCGGCCCCCGCAGTGACGACTGGGTGGCTGGATCCACAGTGAAAGAACAAATAAATAAACAAAGGAACGAACTAACCACAACAAAGGAAATTCCTCATGCAGGAATAAGGAGGATATTTCGTTTAAAAAGAAGACTTGCAAAGGAGCAAAATCAAAGCCATCACTGGAGTTATGAGAAGGAAATTTAGGGCTGAATCAGAGAAAGAACTTTCTATCAGTGGAGCCTGACGATGTTCTGAGAAATGCCCAGCAGCCCAGTGGCCACGGGCGGGGGTTCCTGCACTGAACGGTGGGGAGCTGGAGCAGGTGACCTCTGAGCTTCTTGCCATCTGAGAGCCCGTGACATCTTCAGAGTTCACTGGAGAGTTCATTCCTTGAAGCCCATCAAGGATTTGGTGTGGCGAAGGAGAGGAGGGAAAGAAAAGGTCTGTCCCAGCCTCTCAGGAGCTTCTACTAGAGGCGGGGCATGTGATGGTCATTGTAGGTAGTCACCAAATAGATCTGGTTTCCCCCATCCCAGGAGGACTTTACTTCTTAGCATGCTTATGGTTGGATGAGGCCGTGTGACCCGTTCTGGGCGAAAAGTCAAGAGTGGAAATGGCATGTGCTGCCTCTAGGCAGGAGCGCTGAACCGCCAGAGCCCTTGCCCTCCGTCATGATGACTGGTCAAAATGGCAACCGCGACCTCAAGCTGGGTCCTGGTTGTTTAAAGTTACTGCGATTTGGGGTTGTTTGTTACTGCGGCATTATCTAGGCTATCCTGACTGATACAGGGGACAGACTTTACCTGTATATAACACCAGAAAAAAATACAAGGTAGACAGTCCAAGGTACACACACGGCTGGGTTGGACAGCAGTTCTCACATCTCAGCCCAGCACACAGATGCTGGGCCATCCCCACCACTTGGGTAACACCCAACACAAAGCCTCTAGCTGTGCTCTCTCCTGTCTCCCTAACACCCTAACACTATGCCCAACTTCAAGCCTTCGCTAACATCATGTCTTCTCTCTTCATCTTCTTCTCTCTTCCCTTCCATCTGGCAAATATTCTACCCATTCCCAAAGGCACAGACCGGGTCTCATGTCCTGGAAGACACCTCCTTACCCACAGAGACCAACGGAACCACTCTCTGGAATCACTGCGGTTCCTGTCGTTGGGATGGCATCTCTTTGGGGGACTTAACGTGTATGTTGTCACCCTGTTTTACATGAACTAGCCTCCACTCTGCAAACAGGCAGTGACCCACAGGCTCTAGCTCACACGTGTCTGCTGAGCTCACAGCAGGTGCTCAACGAACGTCAACTGAACAGAGAACAGCACCACAAACATACACATGATGTTTCTTATATATCCATGGAACTTGCTGAAAAATCCAGGCACTTTTACTAAGACATCATTTGTACTAATGACTTTTTAAATTGGCACAGAACCAAATCCTATAATGACTAGAGGGCAGCGAGATGATTGGCAGAAAACTCCGTCCACCCTTTTCTAGGGCAAGAGGTAATCCATGCATTTGAGGTTCTCCTTTCTTCCTGCCACCTGTCACCTCCTGGGTCGGAGTCCATGGTGGTGTCAGTATAACTAGCCTGAGGCTGACAAAGGTATTGGGGTGGGGACCAGTGGAGAAATCAGGAAGACCCACCCCTGCTGCTGTAGTAATTTGGATGCAGTTGGACATCTCAGGGAGACACAGAATGTAAACAAGAAAAGAGATTTCCGGGGAGCTTTGGAGATCTGTGTAGGCCAGCACTTCATTTTGCAGACAAAGTGCTTGGAATCAGTGTCGCTCCTGGGTCAACATCTGGTTCTCCTGGTCCTTGACACAGGCTCTTCTATGCTTTCCAGGGGCTTCGATTTGCTACAGGGCATCCTGATGGAACAGGGGAGTGCCCTACACTTATGGTTCCAGGGAGTGTGGGATCAGGGCTTCGCATGATGCTGTCTGATAAGGAGGCGTGCTCATCAAGTTCCCAGCAAAGACTTCATCACCTTGCTCAACAGCCAACACTGTGGGCCAACAAGTCCTTCAGTCAGGAAGTCCTTCTCAAGGTCTAATCAGAGGCTCTGCTGCTGTTGTGCACATTGATTTCCTTTCCTTGGCACTTCTGTGCAGATGGAAAAGAGCCGCTCACTGCTGGGCCCATAAAACCTTTCATATGCCTTTGGCTTCTTTCCTGAATTCCAAATCCCATGCCAGCACCTTGGAAAGTTTTCTGAATGTCCTGTTACACTCTCATGCCAGGTGCATTCCTCTCAGCCATCGCCATGCTTTCCCCTGTTACAACGACAAGCTGGAAACTATTCCGACATCCTGACCAAAGGACGAGGTGATGGGCGGGTCTCTCGGAAAGAGGATGCCAGGAAGCCGAGGGATCCCAAACACAGCTGACTCCCAGCTGCCGGCAGCTGGGCGGGCCTCTGCTGGACTCTCTGTAGCCTGTTCTTTTGTTCTGGCCTCTCTAGGCTGCCTTCCTCCTACTTCATGGGACTCAACCTACCCTAGGTCGCCCCTACTTTGTGCCTCTGAAAGGGTTCAGGAAAGGTAAGGGTGTTTTGTGTCTTTGTTTTTTGATACATTAGTTAAAATAACCAACAGAATGAGGATGGAAGTCTGCTGTGGGTGAATAAATAATCTGAGAGCATGATTAATCCCCAGATGGTGCCTGCACCTGGGCTCTGGTTCAGGGCATGGTCTGTGACCCACCACCCAGGGCTTTCTGGGCAGAATGCAAGAACTTAGCATCCCTCTCCCAACCTCTCCTTTCTTGGGAACATGCAGCCAAAGTGGGGCTTTCATGGGAGCACAGAGCAGTCAGCCACCCACCTTCATTAGTTTCCCCCAGAAACTAATTCTCCCCGATGGGTGAATGTGGGTTAGTAGAGCTGCCACCCAACCCCAACAGCCCCGGAAAGCTCATCGAAGTGTGGCCAGAGGAAAGGGGCCACGAGGGAGTGACTGCATGGACCCAGCCTGGGCCAACTCAGTGCAGTCTCAGGCATCACTACTGAATGCCTGCTGTGTGCAAGGCCCCAGGCCAGGGGTGGCTGGGGACACAGAACCAGCCCCAGCTCCCATCTTAGGGTTGCCCAGCTGGCTGAGGGGACTGGCAGATGTACATGGAACAGCTTGATGGCAACAGGAGGGTGTCTGCCTGGGTGAGAGGGTGCAGTGAGGAGGCCAGCTGGTGTGCTCATGGGGCTGGTGGTGTCCCCAGCAGCTGGACCTCTGCTCTCGCCTCTGGTGGGTCAGGCCAAAGGGGGCCTTGAAGGGCAAGATGGGCCAGCAACACTGCATCGGAGCCACACACAGCAAATACACGCACCAGTGGGCAGCTCCCTGGTCCCCCCCATCAGAGAGCCCCTGCCGGACAGGTGTGGCTAGGGCAGCTGTCACAGGCCAGCTGCATGGGGCTTTCCTTGTGGCTTGCTCACTCAAGGGACGCTGGCCAGCTTCGATCCCTCCACCAGGGGGCATCAGGAGATGGCTGCTTCATGAGGGGAAATCAGAGGTTCCCAGGGATGAGACCCAGGGCTCATGTTCCCACTGGTGGGAGCATGGACGTGGGCATGAGCCACCATGGGCCACGTGGACAAGGGCCACAGAGAGGGCAGAGCAGTGAGAGGGAGGGAGCCCAACCGACTCTGTTGAGCTGCCGGGCCAGCCCTGCAGACCCGTCCAGGCTGGTAGCAAGAGAAAATAAACTTGTCTTGATTGTGGCACCCTCTTATTTGTGCATAATTAATTCAGTCCCTAATGTCTAAAAATCAGGCCTCTCATCACTGAACTAATTTTGAGGCTGGGCTGGGGTTGAGGACAAACGGTTTTCTCAGCCTCTAATTGCATGGGCTCCTGCAGGCAGGAGTGAGGTATCAGCAAGAAGAGCAGGACCACCAGAGGGTGTGGGGGTGCTGGGGGGCCTGGGGTCACCAGGATGGTTCTTGAAGAGCAGTTGCCTCCCTTCCCTCCCAGCCACACGACCCACCGAGAAGCCCCTGAGGACCTCACAGGCGAGCAGCAGAGAAGCAGACTCCAGCCGGGTCCCAGGACATTTGGTCAGCCATGGGGGATGGACAGGTTTCTGACTGTCCCCCCAGCAAACTGCCCCTCCCGGGCCCTCTGCAGACCTGGAGCAGAGATGATTTCCAAAGCGCCCACCAATGAGAAAATGCAACACATCCCATTGCTTGTGGGGTCCATCAATGTGGGTGCATGAACCTCCGGTTCTTCACTTGGCTGTTGTAGCACATTCCACTGTGAGGATGTATCACAGAGCACTTCCCCGCTCTCCTCTCAGTGGATGTCTGGGCGGTTTCCAGATGTTTGTTACTATATATAATGCAGCTACTGAAACGCAATCTTACGGATTGGCGAGTTCGAGGCAGGGGCGCTTCACTGGGGGCAGGGAGTTAAGGGCGGGCTTTCCAGAGGGGCAGATGCACTGTCCCCTCTCCCACCTCCCTAGCTCTCCCGATCATCACCGCTCAGGAGCCACCCAGGATCCCGGACAGACAAGACACATGACACCCCCAGACAGAGCACAGAGCTGGTTCCCTACCTGCTGTGGGGGGGCTCGCCCTCGGGAGAAGGAACAGCTGCTGTCCAGCGGCTCGTTGCAGTCCGCTGTCCACTGCAGGGCAGAAAGGAGTGGTCAGTGACGGCAGGACAGCCAGCCTCACCCTCGCCCGGTCCGGTCCCCCAGGTGTGCACCTGCCCTTGCGCAGTAGCACCGGAACAAAATTCTACTTGGCCATTTGCAAGAGCAAATCCTTCCCTACCACCAGGTCCCAGTTCTCATCTCCCAGCTGCACATCAGGGTGAACCTTTGCTGTATGCTTGGGGGAGGTAAACTAATTTCCCCTCCCCTAGGCCCACCAAAGTGATGAAGACCCGGCTACATTCCAAGTCAACCAGACGCGACACCGGGTCATTCTGAGTTTTGAACAACCAGCACCACGCTTGACCACCTGACCACCTGTGGGCTTTAGCCACACTAGCCCTCTGCAATGTCAAGGGTGCGGCTGGAGCTGGAGGTGAGGCATGTACATGTGGCTCTTCCTGTATGCCCAGCTCCAAAAGACGATGGCCCTGGCACGGAGGAAGAACCCAGCCCAGCCATCAGAAGGCCGGCGTAAGCCCAGTCCCAGCACTGACACCCCTGAGAGCTCGGAGGGTGGGTGTGTCCCAAAGTGTGGTCTGACAGCCACCCGCGTGAGAGTCCCCAGAGCCTGCGTGCAGAGGTCCCTGGGCCCCACCTTCCACCCTCTGTGGATCATGCCAGGACCTGGTAATCAGCATTTTGACAAGCTCCCCAGTGATGCCCTAGAAGTCTGGGAGCCACTGAAATCTATGAGATCTCTCACGCTTCGTTTCATCCTCTGCAAAGTGGGGGCAGGAGTGCTGGGTGACTCTGCAGCATTGGCAGAAAGGACCTTTGTAAGCTCTGAAACCTTGTACAGATACGTAGCAGCAGTACAGCTCTCCTGTCAGGTGCCGTCTAGCTATACGGCGGCACTTTTATCCTCATGTTAAACATGAGCTCGCCCCCGGCTAATGCTGTTGAACAGTGACCTTACCCCACACTGTGTGTGATGCGGGAAGAGCAGAGGGAAGCCTGGTCTCTCTGTTTGATGCACTTGGTCACCTGGTCAAAACTGTGAGTGTGGGTGGCTCCAGGCCAGTGCAGTCCTGGTTTTCTAAAACCTTGGCTGGACGTTCCCTCCTAACAGTTTGTCAAGGGCATGACCTTTTCCAGGAAAGACAAACTATTACAATGCACAGGCTGGGTACGAGTACACTCCAGAGCAGCGCTGCCCAACTGAAACGAAACGAGAGCCACCAGTAGCAGCCACGGGCGTAATTTTAAATTTTCTAGTAGCCAGTTTTCAAAAGACACAGGTAAAATTAAATTAAATAATATATTTTATTTAATCCAACATATCAAAATATCACTTCAACAGGCAATCAATGTAAGAATTTATTAATGAGATATTTTACATTCTTCTATCCATACTAAGTCTTTGAAATCCACATAGAGCACATCTCAGCTTGGATGAGCCACGTTTCAAGTGCTCGAGAGCCACATGTGGCTTGTGGCTACCATATTGGACAGTGCAGCCCTAGAGAACAGGCAAAGGCGTCAGAACCACTTCTTGCCCAGCCCTGACCCCTGCAGACTGCGATTCCGGGGCTCCTGCGGCAGCTGGCTGCGGGGCTGGGTTCAGCCACTGGGAGACAGGAGAAGGGAGAGGCCAGGGCATTTCTCCCCAACTCGCTACCCCTCAGGTGGCATTGCCAGCACAGCCTGGGTCTCCTTTGTGGCTCCAGCCGTCCCCAGACAGGCTTCTGTGTGTGCCCCTGACCCTGGAGCTCTGGCAACACCACCCCCTTCCTTTGCGGCTCATCGGGTTAAGAGACGGTAATAGTTGCCTGAAGCTGCGAGTCTCTGGTTGTGTAGCTTCTCGGCTCTGGGTAACCAATTCCCTGCATTAAATTCCCTCTGTTTCAAAAATTGTCATCTCGAAGTATCTCCCCCAAGGTATTTATTATTAATAATTAACAGGGGGAAAAAGGAGAAAATGAGAAACCCATCAGACACCATGTCAGCCACATGTCAAGGTGAACCTGACCAGTAACAACACGTATTCCCACCACGGACTCCCTAGCAGGATGCGCTGAGAGGGGCACACCTCTCCTGAGAATTCTTGCCAAACACGCACACCCTCGACCTTATCGATAGTCAGAGAACATCGGGTCCCCCAAACTGATGAACTTTCCCCAAAATCAGTGATCGGAACTCTTCAAACATGTCAAGGTTGAAAAAGAAAAGACAAGACCAACAAAGTATCACAGGTTGGAGGAGAAGGAGGAGATATGGCAATTAAATGCAAATTTGGATCTTGGAGCGGAAAAAGGACATTAGCAGAAAAACTGGTGAAATCTGAATAAAGTCTGTAGTTAAGAGCATTGTACCAATGCTAATAATTGTACTATGGTTATGTAAGATGTTCATGAGGGGAAGCTGAGTGACAAGTATATGGGAACACTCTGTACTATTTTTGCACCTTGGCTACAAGTCTAAAATAATTCCCAAACAAAAAGTGATATATATGTATACATGCAGGTATACATGTGTGTGCACATATGCATGTATACATACTTATAAGTACATATATATGCATTTTGAAGACTACACACACACACACACACACACGTGTGTCTGTGTCTGTGTGTGTGTGCGCATGTATCTATGGATGGATATAATGTTTCAAGTGCTGTGAAAACAATCCCTCTGCTTTACACACTGGAGTGGTTTCTCCTCCCCCACGTGGAGCTGGCTGGCAGCGTGGGGTGGGGGTCGGCCAAGGCACACGGTGCCCCCTGGCTGGGGAGAAGACCAGGCCACACAGGCACTCCTCATCCATCCTAGGGCAGCCTCTCGGAAAAAGGCTTCTCCCCTTCCAGGCAACCCAAACACTTCAAGCCCAGCTGCACGCCTCTGATGTGACATCCCACGACACAGTGACTCGTGGGTGGGCACAGCATGATCCCGGGCAGGGTTGGGCTGGGAGCCGAGCTGGCTCCTTCTGGCAAGAGGACACAGAGGCTTCACACGGGTCCGTATGCAACCTCACCCCCCTTGGTGAGCTTTCCGAGAGCAGTTCCCGGCTCTAAGGAGACCACTCTGCTTTGTCCAAGGTCATCCTTAACTTTACACTGGCCGCCCAACGCCACGTCCCGAGTGCCTTCTGTGTGGGACCCGCAACAAAGAGCCCTCCCAGGAGAGCTAAGACATGTCACATCACAGCCATGCAAGGTGAGGTGCGACTGTGCGCTGAGATGAGGAAGACCGTGCTCTCGGCAGCAAGGTTGGGGGAAGGAACATGGGCAGCCCAGGATTCCCGGAGAAGAGCGAGCCAGAGCATGTCAACAGGCACAGGGGGGCGCCGGCCACCGTGCAGAGATGGCAGCTGTCAAGCTAAAGAAGTCAGAGTCATCCCCTCCGCAGACAGGGCTCGAAGGCTCGGTCGGGGAGGGCTCGCGTGCTAGGAAGGGCTGAACTGGCCTGGGGGGGAAGCAGGTCAGGAGCCGAGGCCCCGTGTGTGGGTCATGAGCCGTGGGCGTAGAGATGGACGTGGAGAAATGGATCTAGGCGTGTGGGCAGACAAGCAGCAGGTGCAGGGGGGGACGTGCCCCTGGAAAGCCAGCGAGATGACAAAGTCCACAGAGAACCCAAGCCCCAGCGAGGCGAGATGCAGGCACAGTCCCCGGGCAGGAGGAGGGACTGTGTTCCTGGGTGTGCAGCGTCCATGGCACCCAGGGAGGGATTGTGTGAATTATCACAGTTGTCACAGCAAGCTCTACCCACCCCAAACCCCCGGCCAAGCAGCAGCCCCAGGGGCGTCCCCTCCAGGGCCGCTGCCTGAACCATCCCCACCAGGGACATGTGCTTCCTCCCTGGCCCTCCTCGAGCCCTCCCTTCCCTATTCCAAGTTTCTTTCCCGTCTCTGCTGGGATTCTGCTCTCAATGACACCACCTCCTGCCAACCCTCTGCCTTCTCTGAGCCACCACCTGGAGAGTCTCCAGACACTGCCCTCCCCGGAACCCGTCCTGACCCGTACGACGTGAGTAGCAACAGAGCAGGGTCCCGCCTCTCCAGACACCCTCCTCGGCCTGGGCGCAGCCCGAAATCCCACACAGAGAACATGTCTCCTTCCAGGCCAACAGGCTGACAGCTTTGAGCCTCCTCAACCTCCGAGTCCTCTCAGGGGATGAAGGTGGTGTCTTACGTGAAAGGTCATCCAAGAGAAAGAGGCAGGAAACGTGGGAAGCTGTTACGTATGTGGACAGTGAACATTGGATTCATAAGCGTGGTTTTAGCGCCTGAACCGCATCTGCTATAATTTACGTCTGAATTTAAAAAGCTGGAACACATATGACACAGGGTTAAGATTTAATAAACACGAGAGCACAGATATTTGTTCTGCACTCAAAATAGATGTTTACTCTATTATTCCCTGCTCTTATCAGTACATTTTAAGTATTTCGCACTAAAAAACAATGAAAATAATCTATCAGTCATTTGCATTCCAGAATGGACAGTGTTTTAGGAGCAGACTTTGGGAGGATGGGGGAGACCACAAGGCTCTGGGCGTTGGAGGCGGAGGAGTGAGAAGGAAAAAGCTCAGAGTTAGGGGTGGCTGAAGGTCCTAACCCTAAAATGGGCCCACTTTTCAGTGGTGTCTAAAATTCCCCCCAGGGATTGGCCCTACCAGATATCAAAGTGCATCATGAGGCTAGAGCCAAAGCAATGTGTTGAGTCAGTACAGGAACAGAAAAGTAGATCAACCGATAAAGCCGCATCCATAAGCAAATTAATATACAAATGAGAACTTGGTATATGATAAAGATAGTGTTTTAAACTGGGGGAAAGGAGAAGCTCATTGATAAATACATAGTATTGAGATAACCAGCTAGACATTAAAGAAAAAATTATTCTAGATGTCTACCTTACACTATCCAAATTTTAAACTATATCAAAATTACGTAAAAATTTAAAATGTCTATGTGACAAAAGAAATCATGAGCAAAGACAAGTGAGAAGCTACTTGCGACATATACAGTAGCCT